GGGGGGCCGAGAGCAGCGCGGGGAGCAACATGCATACCGCCCCGAAGGAGGATGCGGCGTCGATACTCGACGTCGAAGCCGCCGAGCAACCGCCGCGACGACGACCCGGTGCCGCTGCTTGAGCATGTATCCACCCGTCTCGAACTACCTACTGCCGCTTCGTGTGCGAGATGGTGGCCATAATGCCGCGCCTACATGCCGGCCTCGGAACCTGTGACACGGCCTAGACGCGCCACTAGCAGGTCCGGGCCTGGAACATGCGCCTGCGCCGCCTGGGCATGGCCCGGGCGCCCTTCCTATTGCTTGTTTGGCAAAGGTATGGATTGCTACGAGTACTAGGAAAGGCAGTAAGTAGATAGAGCTCCAAGCAAACCCAAGTTGTCCAACAGAAACAGGGAGGGATCAGGCGACGGGCAACAAGCTCGACCTTGGTGCCGTAATTACAGATCTGAATCTCCAAGATATCATACTCGGGCGAGCTCATCCCAGGTGGTTTTCTTCTCCTTCCTTGTCCAGGTTTGGTGCGCCGATGACCAGGCCAGAAGAGCCGCTACGACAGGCGCCTAGTAAGGTCACGATCCGCCGGGGCGACGGTAGCAGAACCGCGATGAAGTCGGGGCCGGGCCTCGAAAGCTAAGACATGAAAGAAAAGCCTAGGTGGTGGTGGTGATAGCGTCGTTAATGAGATGAATGTGAAATATATCTTGCTTCATATCTTGTTGTGTTGTATTCTTTGCATGCTTGGGTGCCTCACTACCACGGTCTCCCGAAAAAAGTCTGGACCGCAATTTATTCCCCACCACCACAAAAAAAAGAGCCCATCCGGAAAACTTCGGCACTCCGGCAAAGCAAAAAGCGTTATTGTGGCTATAAGTAATGCCTTTTGCATCAAGATGATTACAAATCCCTTAAACGCGTTTTTTTTTTTTAGGTGTGGAGTGCGGCGCGGGCATATTGTTTGGCTTTGGTGCTGGTACAATTGTAGTGGGAAAGGTAGAGTTTGGGTGGGGGGAAATTTTTGCGGTCCAGACTTTTTTCCGGGCACCGTGGCGGCTTAGTATGGGCTAGATAACTTGTCTTGAGTGGGGCGGCGACGCTGCATTGCTCGGGTTGGTACCCAACTTGCGCATCTGCACTTGCACTGACATGCATATGTATATGAGGTGCAGCATGCACAAGGAAAAAACAAAAGGGACACGGAAACGGGTAAGCTTTGGCCCGCCTGGATACGATGCAACGTTGGCCAACCAGCACTCGAAGCGCCAGACCATGACCAAACGGGCATAAGCTTCCTGCACGCCTTTTTATTTTCATTCTCTTTTTTCCTCTTTTTTCTTTCTTTCTCTCCCCTCCTTGGCGTCGGGATCGTCGCCCGGGGTCTGACACCTGTCTACCCACCCTGCACCCCCTGTCCGACGGCTTCTGAGCTTCAGACTTGGGACGACGACCTCGGAGTCCGGCGCCTGCGGGCGAGTCGAGACCAGTCTCGAAAATTTCGCTAATTTCGGTCCACATGGCCTCTTTGTGAAGCTCGCTGGCGGTAGCTCCTGGGGCAGGCGCCGGGACGAACGACCAGGAGAAATAACCTGCGGGTCCGCCCGGACCCGGGGGTTTGTGCCATTTTGCTCGGTGGTGCTTATCGAATCGATATCACAAAATCCCATTTTTCAACCCATGCAGCGCCACGCACCACGTGCTTCCATCCCTCCGTCACGCGCGCGTCGGACGAATGATGTCCTGCAGGGCGTCTCTCGAGCCGGGGATGGTGCTACTTTTGAAGACCCGGGGTCTGCGAGAAGGATTAGTAGCAGTAAATCTGCACAAAACTAGATGGAGCCTGCCTGCCTGGTGCGTGTGCCCGTCAGGCTTGTTCATCGCATCTCTGCCTAGCATATCAATCGTGAGCGAAACAATGACGGGAAAATATACACAGGGGAGACCTATGTAAAGATAAACACACGACGCAAAGAGGCCGGATCCTGACTGTGCCGCTAGGGAACGTCCAAGCATCGAAGCATTGGGGCGACCATAAAAAAGAATGTTTGCATAGCAGCCCGGTCGCCGGGCCGAGGCTGCCTCCTAGCCGATGGGTTTCGGACAGCTTGCGGCGTTCCCGACAACCGGCCAGCCGAGTTCAGCCAAGCAGCATTGATGTCTTCGCCCTCGTCCTGCCCTGATTTTCGACGGAGAAACTCGGGGGTAACCCACGAGGCACCACCAGCTGGCAGTTTCTTCCCTTCCACGCCCGGATCAAAAAAAATGGAACACTTTTCAATTTTTGCCACAGTGCATACCACCACCAATTGAAAAGTGTTCCGTTTTTTTTTTTTATCCGGGCGTGCCTTCTCCCCTCTCCCCTCGGGCTCAGGCCGGGAACGATTGCGCATGGCTGTGTGCCTGCGTGCCTCCGTGTGGCCTGTCTCGTACAGGTGAACCCCTGACTGTGCGGAGCCTACCCTGCTTGCCTGTGCCCCCATGTCAGGAGTCCGAGAGTTTGGGGGGTGGCTTTTAGCTCCATTTTACAGTGCAGACGTAGAGGAAAATACGACCACCTGTAACACGCCAGGAGGCTCTGCTTTGCCTGCCCCTTTTGTGGCGTGGACGGGAGCGGAGGAGCAGAAGAAGCAGAGCCACGCGACTCCCTTCCCCTCCCGTATCGCGTCACGTACGTACACTGTAAAAAGGAAGAAACAACGGGGTGACCAGGGGAGGAGAAAAATACAAGGTGTATTTATTGCCGAGGAGGGGCGGGCGGGACGCCGGGGCGAGATGTCGCGGCTGGGAAGAGTGCTGGCCCGTATCAAACATGCACAACTCAATCTCACAAAATGGGCAAGCCGACACGGCGGGCATTTTCCCACAGCAAAAGGATAACGCACACTGGCCACTCAGCCACTTGACTGGCACAAGCAAGGGATATGAACGAAAGCATGAGAAACAAACATGCGCCAGCCCGCCAGCCCCAAAGACAAAGAACGGAAAGGGAAACACTGCAGCAGCGAACTGGGATCCAGGTAGTAGGCCTGGCCTGGCTGTGTCCTTTTTTTGTGCGCGTGTTTGGTGGCTCCTGGCAGGCGTGGACTTGACTGGCCCACATGCCAGTTGCGAAACTCAAGTCTGTTGTGCTCGGCCGTCACCGAGATGAATGGGAAAAATAAAAAAGTTCACCGCACAAAACTGGAAAATCCTTCGAGTCGGTAGCGTGTCACGGAGCACGAGAAGGGACGAGAGAGGGGATCATCCTTGTGTCGTCTGGTTTGGGACGGCTCCATAGATTGCCCTTTTGGATCCTGTGGCATTCTTCTCCAAACCACGTCGTGTCGAATCGTCCTGCCACTTTTCCTGTCGTGGTTTAATTGACCCCCCCTTGGACGGACGCGGACGTGGCAGACACAAAGCACACCATGAGGAAGAAGAGGAGGAGGAAGAGGAGTAGCCGAGATTCTCCCCAGGTTCGGAGCGCTTGGTCCCTCGACTGCCCTTTTCGTAATATCTACCCCATGCTCATGGTGCAACCCATCCCGACGAACCCGTCGCCCATCACATCACGGTCTGGCTGGCTGCCCTGCGTGCTGCAGGAGGGCGCACGCACAAATCTGGGCCCTGGCTGGGGAGCTGCTTTCGCGCCCATCGCGAAGCAAGCGTGCGGGGGTGCTGCTGATTGGGCAGCGGGTGCTTTAGCGAGCGCCCAACGGCCAGGCCTTGCTCATCATGTTCTGCCCTCCATGAGGCCACCACACCCCCTCATCCCGATCCGTGCTTGCTTTCTCTGCTCCTGGGAAAGGGGGAAGGAACATCCGCCTTGGAAGGCTAGAAGCGGTCGGCCAGACCGGTCGCATGGCTGGTCGCCCAAGGCGATCGAAAAGAAACAAGCCGAGCTAGCGCGGCGACAGCAGGGGAATGGCCCCATATGAGGGTCTCTCCAGGATGGGCTAGAGGGAGACGAGAGAGCACAGCACAGACGCAGCATCACGGAACAATTCAAATCGGCAAATCAATGATGGCCAATCCACCAAACTCCCCCAACATGATACAGGCGGTGACCACGACGTTATTCTTAGCAACACCACCCGTTCATGTTATGTTCTCTGCACAGACACGCATGCTGGGCGCCGCCAGGCGAGTAAGGGACAGGGCCGACGTATCGATCGGTTGGGAAATACTGGGTGCTGATCGACGGGGGACCCCTCATTTGCTGGCGACGCACTCACGCACTCTCGCGCCAGGCACCCAAGCGGCAGGCGGCAAGCGCCCACGACCACTCCCCCTCGCTCCTGCCGCCTTTGGTTGGCTGTCACCAGCCGTGTGCCAATCGAGCAATCGTGCCAGTTGATTCTTGGGCTGGGCGGGCTGGGCTCCGGGGTGGAGAACCAAGCAGGGAAATGAGGAGCAAAAGCACGAAAAGGAGCTTGTGGCTGTTTTTTTTTCTGCCTCTCTCTCTTTCCTGCATCTCGCACTGCCCAGCCGGATCAATCACGACGCCTGAATATCCGCTAGGGCCAGCCGATCCCTGCACGCACCTCAACCTGGGTGCGTGTGCCACACCACGGCCAGAAGAGAATTGAAGGGCGCCAGGGGGTGCCGGCCGGGGGCCCAACCAGTCGCACGTCCAGGTTTTGGCCACCTCCCGTTGCATGCCACCCTGCCCGGCCAGTGGAGTGGTGCCAGCTCGCCCGATGGCACTGGATGACTGTCTGCCCTGGAGGTGTAGTCCCCATCTTGGGGGACGACTCGCCACTTTGGGCCAATCACGCCCGCCCCCTGGCCTGCCACACGAAGCTCCATCCGCCGCTTGCTGTTTTCTCTCATGGCCAGCCCTCTCTCGTCTTCTCCTTTTTTCCTCTCCTGCTTTTTTTCTTTTCCCTTTTCCTCCTTTCTGTTGTTCAACAACACACCGCCCTTCCTTTTTTCTTCTTCCCTCTCCCTTTTCGAATTTGGTCCGTCGTCGCTGCTGCTAGTCTTACTTTTTTTCCACATTTCTAGAGATCCTTTTCCTCTCCGGAGTGTTGCATCGTAAAAAGAAAAAAAAATACA